CTTTATAAAAGTAAAAGCATATTGTGTATTGGCCTATTGGGTTTACATTCTTACAGGTTCATTTAACTCTAGCTCTCAAGTCTCAACAGACAATTGGACAGGCCAAATCCATTTATATGACAACTTCAAAAAACGTTTTTTCGAAGCTAGAAATCAGGGTTTTTTTCCATTTTTTCCAGGGATACTTTGTTTTCTGCTCTCTAGACTCCCCCTCGCGGCACTAGTGCTCCACCGGCTCTAGTGCTCACTTTGGTGACACCTGCTCACGGCCCCCTAAAATTTCTGGCACCACCCCAGTAAAAATATGAAAATCCGTCTATGAATCAGAGTCTGGTTGTTGGTTCCCGCACTATAATATGTATGTTGTACAGCCTTTACAACAAAAGCAGTCAATATTATTTTCTCATCAATTCTCACAGCTTTTGAATGATGTGTAGTTCTATAATTGACATTTCGTTTTTGGATACAATGTATAAAACAAATAAAAAAGTAGATAAACAGAAAACCTGGATTTTATTATTTTACCTGACCATGCAGTACCGCCATATACCCATTAACTTATTGTAGTTTCAGGGTCTGAAATAAGTTTATATTTTTTCTCAGTATCCAACTGGGATACCGGTACCAGGATTCAAATTGTATTCCCACTTCTGGATACTGGTATGATAAGTAAAGTAATTATGGTTACTGGTACCATAAGTAATTATACCCTCTCCTATCCAAATTAGTTTCCATTTAACTCTCACTGTTACAATAATTTCAATAAGAAATACAGGAGACTCAATAGTCAACAACTAAACAATTCATGCATTAATACACTAAATGACTAAAATGCTAAATCCTACAAAAAACTTCTATATGCTCGTCCTCAATGAGGAAAGACTAATGACAAACTGATAGTATATTCAAAAGCTATCAGGAACCATCAGTTAGTATCCATCTAGTCTGGATACATATTAGTCTTTCATAGTTTGGTATCCAAAACCAAAATTTTTGGTAGTTTTTAGACCCTATCGCCTTCATATACTCAAAAATATTTAACTCCTGCAGGCCCTTACGAAAATTTCCTATAGGAATTCCTATAGGAAATCAAAATTCCTATAGGAATTGAAAATGGTCAAAAATTCCTATAGGAATTGAAATTCCTATAGGAATTCCTATAGGCATTGAAAATTCCTATAGGAATTCCTATAGGCATTGAAAATTCCTATAGGAATTCCTATAGGAATTAAAATTTCCTATAGGAATTCCTATAGGCATTGATAATTCCTATAGGAATTCCTATAGGAATTGAAATTTCCTATAGGAATAAGAATTCCTATTGGCATTGAAAATTCCTATAGGAATTCCTATAGGAATTGAAAATGGTGAAAAAATTCCTATAGGAAAAAATATTCCTGTAGGAATTCATATAGGAAATGAAAATTCCTATAGGATTTGAAAATGGTGAAAAAAAATCCTATAGGAATTCTTATAGAATTGGAAAATGGTGGGAAAAATTCATAGCCTATACCACTATGGCCTGATACATGCATGGGTATAAGAACTTTACTTATATAAAAAATTATACAGATAAATATAATTTACGAAATAACTCCTTCCTACAGGAATTTTTATTTCTTATACGAATTTTTTCACCATTATCATATCCTATAAGAATTCTTATAGGAATTTTAATTTCTTATACAACTACACCATTCCTATATCGTATTTTACTCATAGACATTTATTAATAGAGAATTTAATACTGGGACTATTTATTTTCTAAGATTAAATGAATAATTACCGCAATGTGCGCGACTGACAGACTGGTGTCTAGTTTTCTTGCCGCGCGCGCAAAGCATCAAGGGATAGATCATCACACCTCCGATATTTTTTCAAGTCGGTGTTTGTCAATGGTTTATGTGCAAAATAAGAACTATTTTTGATGGGATTCAACTGGATTTTCACTAGTAATACATCAGGGATGTTTGCATAATGCTCAGGTAAGAATAAGTTTATATTTTATTTATAATAAAGCAAATTATAGAGGAAATACCTCCAATCTTCATTTGTGAAATTCGAGCATGTGGTTCGATAAAATTTGAATTTGCCGCGACAATATAAACGGAATTAGAATGCTGATATAAATATATTTATAGCATTTATACTTCAACAAATGCTACTATAAAAGTCTTATATTTGAATCAGACTTATCCATGTTTATTAATATATTTGTATATCCCAAGTGCCAACTGTATATGCCAGATTAATTGTAAATTGTCAGGCATATTTAATGCATGCCTATAGAAAATTTAACTACAGTATGTGGCCCGGACAAAAGGGATTCTTCTTTGAATACAGTTCAACTAAAAAGCCTGCGAAAACTATCATCCAAAAAAGGAAAGGTTCACCATTATATCTATATATTTCATTTCGCGTCGCTTTTTATCTCGGCGGAAAAAAATGAAATCAAATTTCTATTGACCCGCTACTGGTACTGACCCGAAACTGGGCCACATACTGTATTTGCTCAAATCAGAAGCAGTATTATATTAAAATATTATATTTATATTTATATTATATTTTATTAAAATATTATATTTATATTAAAATAAAAAATAGAGATGGAACAGTCGATTATCTTGAAAAAAAGGACCATATTAAATACCTAGGCGTTTTCATTGATGATAAGCTCTCATGGAAATATCACATAGCATACATCTGTTCACGATTGGCTCGGAATATTGGCATATTTTACAAATTAAGACATTACATGACTTTATCACAATTGAAACAACTTTACTACTGCTTTATTTACCCATACATATCATATGCCATACTGGCATGGGGAAGTGCATATCAGACACAAATAAAGAAAGTTCAAATTAAACAAAACAAAGTAATAAGAGTTATCTTCTTTGCCATTACCCATGGGCAAAACACAGAAAGCGCCCTACCCTATATGAATTTATTAAACATCCTTTCCGTTATAACACTTCATAAATTGCAAATTCTTAAATTTGCTTATCGATGGCAAGAAAATCAATTACCCGAAATTTTTGATGACTATTTTCAGTATGCTTGCGATGTACATCCTTACAGTACGAGATATGCTTCTAACAAAAATTTCTATAAGCCAAAAACAAGAACTAATACTGGAAAACAGTCTGTATATTCAATAGCAGTTGATTTATGGCAAGAACTTCCTTGTCACTTTAAAATTCTACCGAATTTCTCATTTAATGGAAAAGTTAAACAATTCTTACTTCAAAATCAAAATAGTAAATAAAATTTGACTGCCAATGTTTATTTTGTTTTGTCTGTGATTGTTTTGTTTGTTGTGTTGCTATAATAAATCAGTATATATCCTTATATAGCTGGGAGCCAACTAGAAAACTTCAGTTTATTTAGCTTCTAGACACCTTAAACATAGTATATATATACCATACGTGGCACATCAACTTATATATTGTATATATTTCTCTCCATTTTGTAAATAATTAATGCTAAAAAAGGTGTAATAAAGTTATTGTTGTTGTTGTTGTTGTTGTTGTTTAAATTAAACAATTTTCATTTTGAGAGGTCTTGCACCAGTCAATGTATTAAAATCTGTTAGCCTTTAGACATGCTTTAGTGTAATGCCAGGAAAATTATCCATGTTTTTCTATTAATTAAACCACAGTTTATAAACATACAGTAACTATGTGATGGTATTCAAATTAACCAGACTCTCTGCTAGCTTACATTTCATGCTAACTTGTTAAGATGAATGTGCTCAACTTTCAGTACTTTTTTTTTTTTACTTTTTCTAACACCAGATCATTTTACTTGAAAGAGAGTGGACAACTTTGATAGGTTACCTTGCTGTCTCCCTGTGTTTTGTGTAAACTCATTAAGACCCAATTCACAATTCACACTAATGTGCTCTATTTCAAAGCTCAATATTTTGCCCTGTTAATACCAGACTATTTTGCATTATTTGGCGTTAGCACATTTAGATGCAATTCACCCTAACACTCAATCCCCACTTTCAGTACTTTGATATTTATCACATGATTTTACTCATCAAAATGAATGTTGGTCATTGAAAGGTTAATAATTAACTGCAAAAGCTGCTGTGTGGCATATTTAGAAGCAATGTGCTATTAAAGTGCTAGACTCTCCACTTAGAGTAAAATAATAAATTGGGTGCATTTGGGCATATTTAATGGGTTAACAAAACACATTGGAATGGTAGAAATAAAGTAAATGTATTTGTCTTTTTACAGCTATCAACAAAGTATGGATGTAAGGCCTCAGAGGTTCGTCAACATATGAGGACAAATATAAACAACATGGGAAAGTGTTGCAAAGTACAGAAAAGCAAACAAGAACAAGAACTTATTTGAGGACTATGTTTTGAGGCCAGTTTTAAACTTAACTTTAAATGTCAATTATGGTTATTACCAATGGTTTAGCCCATTAAGCGCCAGCGCTCTGACGAGTAAAATCGTCTGGCGTTAGACAGAGTAAACTATAGTAAAATAATAAAGTAGGGCGCATCAGGGCGCAATGTGATTCAATGGGTTAACTAGACACATATATAGGAATATAGGCTAGTTAACCCATTCGAGCCAGCATTTCCCCTTGACATTCAAGTACAATTGTCTGGAGTTAGACAGAGTAAAATAGTCTGGCATTAGACAAAGTAAAATAGTTAGACAGAGTAAAATAATAAAGTAGGACGCATCATATGGCATTGCATTGAGGTAGAACGATTAAATTGGCACAATAGGTGAAAACTATAATTGATTTGTAATGTTTAGTATAACCAATTTCTCATATTAATTTTTATATTTGCAATATTAATTAGTATTTATTAATATTTATATCTATTTTTTGCATTAAAAAATTAAGAGTGATGAACAACATTGTCTGTCATTTACTATTATTTCATCTAGATTCTAGAATTTCTGCAGGAATACCAAAAATCTTATAGGAAATTAGAATAAATTATTTTCTTATAGGAAATTCCTATAATAATTTGGGACTAGACTTGAGAATTTTTATAGGAATTCTTCCTATTAAATTGTTATAGGATTTCCTGTAGAAAAAATTCCTATAGGAATTTTTCCTATAGGAATTCCTATAGGAAAAATTCCTATAGGAAAAATTCCTATAAGAATTTGGGACAAAATTCCTATAGGAATTTTTCAGGAATTTTTCCTATAGGAATTCCTATAGGAAAAATTCCTATAGGAATTTTGTCCCAAATTCTTATAAGAATTTTTCCTATAGGAATTCCTATAGGAAATTTTCGTAAGGGTTTGCATTCAGCTTAGTGCTAGGGCATTCAAATTCTAACAATACGTTATTTCAATAGTTTTTGGGGTTTTTTTTTGGGACACCCTGTATAGCATACTGCATATAAAAACAATGAGGAGCATTTAACACCAATTATTTAATTAAGTGTAAATTAATATTTACACTTATCAGTTTGGTCATTTCGAGCAAGTTTTGATAAACAAAAATTATGCATCTCGTACAACATCTTCGACGATTGGCAGAACTACGCGAAAGGTTTGCCAGTCGCAATGGAAACATAGGACGCCCAAGAATATTTCGAAATAGAGACGACGTGTTGGATACTCTAAACGACAATGAATTCTTACAGAGATACAGGATGACGAGGCTCATGTTCTATGACCTTCTTGGGCAAATTCGTGATAACATTGAACATAATACAAAACAAAATCATGCACTTACAGCAGCTCAGCAGTTACTCATTGAGTTACGCTTCTTAGCAAGCGGCTCATTCCAACAAGTTATAGCCAACACGATTAAAGTAAATAAGAGTACTGTATGCCGAACCATTACAAGGGTTACCAATGCGTTACTCAATTTACAAAATTCATTTATTTATTGGCCTTCCGAACAAGAATGTGCTCGAACTTCTTCAATCATATACCAATCAACCAAGTTTCCCTGTGTGGAAGGATTTGTAGATGGTACGCATGTGCAAATAGTAAAAAAGCACACATCCATGAACAGGTGTATGTAAACAGAAAAGATATTCATTCCATCAACATACAAATTTGCGGAAATGGAGATATGACCATAATAGACGACGTTGTAGCAAAGTGGGATCAGTAAATGATGCAAGAATTCTTCTAAACTCCTCGCTGTATGAGAAGTTCACGGAGCAAGTTTTACCATATTTGCCAAATGGAATAATTCTTGGCGACGCTGGGTATCCTTTGCTTGAATGGCTCCTCGTACCTTATGTTGACCATCCGGGTATGACAGAGGGAGAACGGCGCTTTAACAAGGCCCATAAATCGGCTCCATGTGTTATTGAACAAATAATCGGCATTTTAAAGAGACGGAGGGCATGCTTAAAAGAACTACATTTACGTCCAGAAAAATGCTGCAAAATAGTTATTGTATGTTGTATTCTGCACAATTATTGTCGTCATATTCCATTGAACGAAGATGAGCTAAACGTTGCGGTTGATCATGAGCGTGATGACGAAGATTATAATGAAACAGGGAAGGTTGCAAAAAACGCAATGATTTTGTGAGATCTTTCTTTGATTAAATTATTTGTATAGTTGTGAGTTATCCTGTAAAACATTTCACTTTTTTCGCAAGAAAGGTATATTACTGTAGGTATTTGAAATTGACAGTAATCATCACAATCAATAAAATCTCATGATGTTTTTACTTTTCATATTTAAAAGATATATGGATGATGTTTACAAATAGAGTACATGAAAGGCTCCAATTTCACATTTGAAAATGAGAAATGTGTCAATGAAGACCTGCCGAATTTTGTAAATGGAGAACAAGGTACATTTAAATCATTGGAAGTAAAAAAAAATGTTTAAGCTCTACAAACAAACAAGTTCAGAGATGTAATGTTTCAATAGGTAATGGTAAATTTGTTAAAATATGTTGCTTCTGTTGTAAGGTTTCCTGATAGCATGGGCTATAAGTTTCCAAGATTGTGGCTCAACAATAAAAATGAGCCAATAAATAAGATTCGAGAGATACTTAAACTGTTGGTGACGGAGCAGGACCATAGATATCTTATATAAACTAGATAGCACATCTCTTTTAGTAAAATTGAAGCCAAGAATACTCCAGCGGTTACCACCATTTGAATAACATGTCGGAGTTTCCCACTCGCTAATAAATGCTTGAAAAACAACAGTAACTTTCATCATTTGAATAGTTTGAAAATGTATTTGGAATAGGTTTAACTTAATGTTTAAGTTTCCTGTTTAAGAAATAGAAAACATACAAGTCTTCTCATTTCATGGGAATACCCTGAGTCTGCAATGACAGCTTCAATTTTTGAATTGCAGAATAATTAGATGGACTATCTAGTGTATATAAGATATCTATCTGCAGGACCAAGACAGATGGTACAAACAGGGTCCCTAAATAGGGCCTCAACCTTTTGATTAAATACTCATGCCTCTGTGGTGGTAACAATGCCATTTAAATATGAAAACCTGGTGGTCATTCCACAATTTTTTTTCCAAATTTTGGTTTTGTGTGTTCTATATATTTTAAATACTCTACTTTCAGAATTTATAGTTACTTTTATGAAATTTTTATTTTTTAAATGCGAAAAATGCTTTTAAAGTGGTTATGATCCATAATTTTCTCCCTAGCAACACCTTAGCAACGCGTTTTTTATCCAAAATTGACATGAATTATTACACGCGTAAAAACGCCCAACTTGTTCACGATTGATAACAGCAACGAACAATGCTGTTGCGAACAGGCTTGAACAGTGTTTTGCTGCCCACACTGAACAACGTTGTTAACAATACTGTTCAGTGCTGTTGGGACAACGCTGTTCAAGACTGACGATTCAACAGGAACGAACAATGTTGTTGCAACAGTGCAAACCAAGCATGATAACAATCATGTTTTATATGGTCAACAACGATGAAGAACGTTGCTTCAACAATGTATAAAAATCATGACAACAAACCTGTTTTTCATTGCTTCGACATGGCTGAACAATCATGTTCTGAAGGGATTTTTCCCCGGGGTTATACGGGGTTCTTGGGGATTTTCTTGTGGAATCCCCGGTGTTCACTATACATCGTTCCACGTGGAAGAAATCTTTGTGTTCTTTGTCTTCTTCATATCGAGCATTTATTTTAAATAATATCGCCAGTTTCAAGACTTTGAAATACCGGTAATGAATACATTTTGTATTTAGAATTTCAACCTTACTATTTGAACTGTTGGTCATCAACAGTCAACATTCAACACACAGTATACACATAAGTTTAACTGGATATTTAATATTGAAATACGCTTTAAGAATACATAGAGGATATACAATGTTTCGAAAATGTTAACTACAAATTGATAGGAAGTTACAGTAAGCAATCATGACAAGAATAAGTGTCTATGACTATCATGACTTTGCTTAGTTTGCTGTCAGTAAATTTTCACATGCAACATTTAAGGGCCACGTCCATATTCATATTGCCACAAATAACGTAGAACCGACGTTATTTCTTCACCCACCCACCCACTCCAGATAACGTTGATAGATATTCAGCCGTATTTTGACTTTTGTATTTATGATACAAAAGCCATATTTTGACTTTTGTATTTATGATACAAAAT